ACCTACTTAGAACAAGCTTAGCAAAGCACAGGGACCACGGTTCAATCCCCCAGCACCACATGCCAGCCAGCCCCGCCCCCTGGTGGGCTGAACTGGCCACACACACACACACACACACACACACACAAATAAAATTTAAAAAAAAAAAGAAAACAAGGCATTTAGTTGAGCACCTTGTTCCCCTTGAGTCAGAAGGAAATCTCAAGGATACTTATTTATAAAGATGAGTTTCACCCCAGCAACAGAAAGCAATACAATGCTTTTCTGCAATGCAAAACCTATGGTCGAAGTTGCTACTGTCCTGTTGGTGAAATTAGATTTTCTTTTACCTTTTTAAATTTATATCTTGAATTTCAAAACTCTCTTCAGAATTCAAAATTTCTTTTTTCTTCAAAATATCAAGAAGTTAGCAATATCCCATGAATGCACAGAACATTTACCAAACAAGAGACAGAAAATCAAAAAGTAAGACAGTGAAAATGTTCCAATTTATATATACATGCATAATTAGACTCATTGTCTAAGTGAACAATACATTCATTCCTACTTTGTAATTTAACCTTTTTCTTCTCATCTATCAAGAAGGAAATAAAAAGAAGGAAAAAAATAATAATACCTGCCTATGGTTTGTTTTATGGATTAAATGAGTCATTGTATATTACTTGGCACAGTGTCCAACATATTAAATGATAAATAAATGCTAGCTGTTATTTTGATTCCAGTGACTGCTTTGGTTTCTATAAGTCATAAAAAGTGATCCTTTCACACATGGGGGAAAGAAGTTTCCAGTAGTTCTTTGGGTCCATGAAATTTGATCTTCGTTGCTTTTCTTTGGCAGGAAAGTTATTGATCCAGGTAGCAATATTCACAGCTCTATATGCTTGTTGCCACTCTGAAAATTTCCAGAAGGCAGTCATTTCAGGTTGAACATGTCCTTTCTTGGTCTCAATCAAGTAGAAACACATTTGCAATGGAAGACGAAGGCAGAAGCCATTCCCTGCTTCACAGTATCTAGAGTTGAAGAACAAGTAGATTTGGTTTACATCCAAAAATAATATCTTTCCACTAAGTGATAAAAAAATTATGAATGTTAGAAGTTTAAGCTTCCAAGACCTTATATAGTAAATGTGGAACCACCTGCTTTGTTGGTAGTGAAAACAATTGTTTTGAAGTTCCTTTCACATGTTTATCTGTCTGTTCATCTAGAGACATAGTCTTACTGTGTTGATCAGACTGGCCTTAAACTCCTGTGTCAAGTGATCCTCTTGCCCTAACTTCCTAAGAAACAAGAGGCATACACCATCCTGATTGGCTGTGTGTGGCACACACCATTCTTTCATTTTTAAGGCAAAACTAGAAGAATACAACATCCTGTCATTTTTAAGGATATCTTTTTTCATTTTTGCTTTTGCCTTTTAAGCCCTTCAGACAAAGTGGTCTCAGATGAAAATTGGCACGTTATTTTTTATTTATTTTTTTCCATAATTTTATTGAGAAACAAATAGCAATGAGACAGTTTCAAACCGAATTGATAGGACAGTTTCAATAATCAACACATTGCATACATTCTTCCTAGTGGTTAATTGCAGTACAAGATGTGGACATGATATCCTATTTACAAACACTATTAGAACAAATCCCTCTATTCATTGAGAGAATGTAACTATATATCTATCCTAACCATTTTGAATACACAAATACAAAATGGACATTCATCTGTAT